GCTCTGCTTGGCCTCTAGAAAGATGCAGACACATTTCCCCACTTTCTCTAAGGGGTGGGGGGGGGGGGGTGTGCATGCGTGTGTGTGTATGTGTACGTGCATGTGTGTGTATGTGTGTGTGCGTGTATGTATGTGTGTGTGGCGTGTGTGTGCACGCATGTGTGTACGTGTGTGTGTGTGTGTGTGTGTTAGCTGTGCTGAGTTCTTGGGCCATCGTCCCTTTTCATAGTTCTAAGTCAAGCAGATGGTTGCAGTGCTAGGGCCCAGGCCCTGCGGTGCCAGGGACTGCCCGGGACACCCCTAAGTGCTGGTGGTCTCCGCATGGTGCCAGGAATCAAACCAGGTTGACCATATGCCAGATGTGCCCTATCCCTGTGCTCTCTCCAGCCCCGTCATGGAGCAGCTTAGCCAATCAGTCACCAGCTCCAGGCCAGGGGCCCGGGCCTTGTTGGCCAAGCCTCCCATGGCTGGCCAGAGGAGACTGTAGAGCAGCTTGGCCAAGTGACCAGGTCACTCCCGGCTTCTTGAAACCTGGGGAGGCACCAGAAGTCTAACGAGCAACTTCCCTCCCTCCACTCTGCTATCTGTGTGGACATTCTGCAGATGACTTGTAAGTGTCACATTCTGCTTCCCTCTAGGCGACCTACAGAGATAATCCACTGTGAAGACCAGAAAGGCAAGATTGCTTCCAACAGCATGGAGGGGACACTCAGTGTGAATGGGCGGCCTGAGACATGAGGCATCACGCAGGGAGACGACGCGTGCTAGCACAGCTGACGCATGAGCAGGATGGGGGCGGCTGTCGGGAGGCGCAGGGGGCGGTTTCCGAGTGCTGGGAAACCAGGAGCACTGTTTCCAGAGAGCTTTGGGAAATCTTGACGTGCACCATCTCACACCGTGTTTCCAAGGATGCTCTGAGGGGCAGAGGGAGAGCACCGTCAGCAAGCCCCGTGCCTGCACACAGGTGGCATCCCATGTGGCATCCAGACTCTCTGGGAGCAGGGCTCCGTGCAAGGCTGTGTGAACTCTCAGTCCCTCCTCTCCTCGGCACAGCTCTGCCTGGCCTCAGGCTCATGGCAGACAGTGTTTTGCCAAGGTCTCTCACCCCTTACCTCAGCTGGTTAGAGGGGGAATAGATAAGCTTCCTTCGAAAAAAGCCAGACAGCAAGCTTTGTTCTATGGGTCCGGATGCAAAACTGAAAATATTGCATAGATACGTAATAGAAAAGAAAACAAGTTTCTGTGTCAAAATTAAAGCAAAATTAAAAATAGAATGAGACTGGAGCAATAGCACAGCAGGTAGGGCGTTTGCCTTACATGTGGCCAACCCAGGCTCGATTCCCAGCATCCCATATGGTCCCCTGAGAACCGCCAGGAGTAATTCCTGAGTGAGAGCCAGGAGTAACCCCTGATCATCACCGAGCGTGACCCCAAAAGGAAAATATATATATATATATATATATATATATATATATATATATAATCATTTTGATTTTGAGTTTTGACCATACCCAGTGGTACTCAGGGGTACTGGCTTTTCACTTAGGTACTCGGGGGTACTGGCTTTTCACTTAGGAATCTCCTGGTGGACTCGGGGGGCCCTATGGGGGACTGGGGATCAAATTTGGGTCAGTCACATGCAAGGCAAGCGCCCTATGCATTGTACTAAGGCTCCTGCCCCAATATAATGATTATTGAGTTCAAGTGACTGTCATATTGATTGACTGTTGAGGAGAAGTGGATTCTTTTTTTCAAATGACATTTTGCTTAATTGGAGTTGGAGTGGGTATTTCCCAAATCAAATCAACTGCAAATGTTCGTCTGCAAGAACAATTCTTAGCTCAGGAGATGAACAAAAAGAGAGGGTGGGTGAGACTCGGTCTGTGGGCCATCGTTTGCCAGCTGCTTCCTTAGCATCGACTTGAACTAGGAGATATCAATTAGCCTTCAGGATGCTTTTATTTCAGAGTGGGAGTGAAGAGATGCCTTCTCTCTGCTAACAGATTGATGATGCTTCTTTCTCTTTGGAGGTGAAGTGACAATACTTATGTTGGTGGGTCACTGTCACTGTCACTGTCCTACCGTTGTTTATCAATTTGCTCGAGGAGGCCCAGTAACAATGTGAGACTTGTTACTGTGTTTGGCATATCGAATACGTCACGGGGAGCTTGCCAGGCTTTGCCATGCGAGCAAGATACTCTCAGCTCTCGGTAGCTTGCCAGGCTCTCCAAAAGGGGCAGAGGAATCAAACTTGGGTCGGCCATGTTGGCTGCGTGCAAGGCAAACGCCCTACCACTGTGCTATCGCTCCAGCCCATGTTTGTGGGTAGTTTCAGAAAAAAAGAATCTCACATATTCTGGTTTTTCTCCCAAAAAAAATGGATCACATATACATTATTAGATTCAGAGATTCCACTTCTAAGAATTTAATCCAGTGAGGATTATACCAGATATTGGTGTGAAAGGCATTGTTTGATGTGAAAATGTGGCACCTTCTAAGTGCCTGACAGTGAGGGTGGAGGCCGCATGCAGGAGGCGACGCCCCACACGGCCCTCCACAGTCCTAGCCGCGAGGGCCTCGCCAGGAGGCTTGGTGTTGTTCTTCAGCCAGAATGGAACTGCACAGTGAGCAGGGTGGCACCAGAGCCGTGCCACCACCACGGCCACGGCAACAACAGAAATAAGAGACGAATGTGTCAGGGCCACAGCACTGGGAGGCAGAGGCGGGCCTCAGCCCGGCCCCTCCAGACCTCACCAAACAGGGCATAGGGAAAACAAGTCAGGGCTAAGGGCTTCTCTCCGGAGCTCTGCATTCCAGAAGGCCCACAGGATGCCTGCCCTCGCCAGGCTGGCACACGCATGCTCACACCCTCCCACACATACTGCCACGCTCCCACAATGACACTCCCACACTGACACACTCACACTGACACATACACTCCCACACTCACACTGACACACACACATACACTGACACACTCACACTGACACACACACTGACACACTCCCACTGACACCCTCCCACACACACTGACACACTCCCACACTGGCACATTCCCACACACACTGACACATTCCCATACACACTAACACACTCCCACACTCACACTGACAGTCACACTAACACACACTCACAACGACACACACTGTCACACACACTCCCACTGACACCCTCCCATGCACACTGACACACTCCCACACTGACACATTACCACACACACTGACACATTCCCATACATACTGACACACTCCCACACTGACACACTCCCACACACACCGACTACTCCCACAGTGAAACACTCCCACACACCCTGACACACACTCCAGCACTCATGGCCGCGTGTTCTCCTGAGTGCGATGTGCTCCATCGCGCGGTGCCTATTTCCCAGGGATCATGGAACAGCACGCACAGGGTCTGTGCTTGAAGCCAGGTGAAGGACCGTCTCGTTTCCCCTGGCCTCTGGGTCCTCTTCCAGGAAGCTTCGCCTGTGCACTGACTGAGGGGCTGTCGCAGGAGTTGGCCCAGGAGCTGCTCGCTCCCCATCACAGCCTCCCAGGGCACAGCCCGGGCCCAGAGACACGACTGCCCCATCTCTGCCTGGGGTGTCCAACCTTCCCTCGGGCGGTACCCCAGCAAGTCCGTCAGGCGCTGAGAGCAGGCACCGGGTCCCTCCTCGTGCCCAGCCCCGTACCCGATCGGGACCCCCACTCTGGAGGGTCAAGCTGACGGGAACGTGCGGTCCCAGACCACAGTTACCGCGAAGGCCCCCAGGAGACTTGTTTTCCCTGGATCACGGGCTCGCGTGGCCCCGATCTGATCTTTGTGTGCATGTTTGTCTCCCGCACAGGCAGGAGACGCCTCCTAATGCGTGCGGAGGGGTATCTCTGTGGGAGCTGGGATTGTTTAAATTGGTTCTTTGAAAACATTTAACATCTCTGTTTTCCTCCATCAACGTGTCCGCACCGGGGCTCTAGAGGGAGCAGCCCCCGCTGCTGGGATCTGAAGGGTTCAGAAGCTGTTTTTAATACCTTCTCCGTTTTCTTCAACAAACACCCTGGAAAAGCTAATAAAGGCCACTGGGGGAAACATAAAAACAAGAGAGAAGCTCACAGACCCAGGCAGCTGAAGTCTGCCTCCACACCCACAGGCTTCCAAGCCCCCACCCCCACCCCCACCCCCACCGGAGCACCCATCCCTTCCAACAGTTGGGTTTTCTGTTTGGGAGAACTTGGGGCCACTCCTGGCAATGCCTGGGGTCTGGGAGTCGGCCTGGGTCTCCTGCAGCACTCAGCCCTCTGTGGGCTGAAGACACTGACCCACTCTGCTGAGGAAAGGAAGAGAACACGCTCAGAACGCTTTTTCTCTCCCTGCAACGACTCCTGACGAGTTTATTTGAATAATTTTTAACATCATATGGAAGAGACTGAAATGCAATTATTCTAACTCTAAAAAGGAATCCTGCTTCGGTATGTCTGAGGCATGTGCCAGAAAACTCCAGGTGTCTAAAGAATCCAGTAGAAGCTCGACAAGCAGGCGACAGTCGCTGAGAAGCCACATTCTGTGAACGTGTCGGGAAGCGGTCAGTGGGGGAAGCTCTCACCCCAGAAAAGGTGTGACCAGAGAGCTCCCAAAAGTAAAGTCTAAATATTAGGACTATTCCGCTGGTAGCATGAATGAGACACGTTGACCAGCAGGTTTGATGACACACTCATGGCTCTGCATACCGTCCTGCAGAAACCACAGCCTCTAGAGGCGGCCGTTATTTCTTGCTTTCCGGATCTTCACTTTCCCTGTGGCCTCCATTCTCCTCAGAGAATGAGAATGCAACCCGGAGATGAACACAGAAGAGAAAAAGGAAGTGCCCAGGGAGCACACTTCTCACACTTCTCCCAGGATGAGACCCTGCCTCAATAGAACACTGTAAGTAGCTTCAACTGGACATACGATCTGCTCTCCAGGGTAACAATTATTTCAGAAAATCAAATGTAAACAGATGAAATGATAAAAACATACTATGTTTATTGGTTTTAATGAAGAATGCTTATCTCCCAACCCCCATTTATTTCTCTCCCCATAACACCAGATACATTAGTTATTCCAAAAACACAAATTCGTAATAGCTAATGCAATATGTGACTTCAAAGGTGCTTTTTGGGGTTAAACAAACACGTTTATCTGTCCAGTATAAGATTAATATATATTTATCAATCCATGTTAAACATTCATCCATCCAATCTGCATTATTAGTTTGATATTTTTATGTTCTGTAGGAAAATGTAATTCCTGAAGTTCTTAGTTTTTAATCAATCATTTTCCTGTCAAATCATCTGTAAGTATCTTGGAAGTGTGAATTACAATTAAGATGTTCAATTTTATTTATTTTGCTTTTTGGGTCACACCTGGCGATGCACAGGGGTTACTCCTGGCTCTGCTCTCAGGAGTTACTCCTGGCGGTGCTCAGGGGACCATATGGGATGCTGGGAATAGAACCCGGGTCGGCCGTGTGCAAGGCAAATGCCCTACCCACTGTGCTATCTCTCCAGCCCAAAGATGTTCAATTTTAGACCAATTTCTTACATCTGCTAGCTGGGTAAAACAGACTCCATCTTTTACAAAGGGTAAAAAAAAAAAAATACCCAGTATGCTCAGTGCTTTCCCAGTGTAGAGGAGAGAGGGAAAATGTAGACAAGGGAGAGAAGTCCACTCCAAAAGGCTCTCAATCCCCTGGGAGGCACCTACATTTTTGAGCTAATAGATATAGAGCCATTGAGCCAGTTTTGCATTAACTGAAAATATTCTTTGCAGACTATTTTCTGAAAAGCACCTCTGAGGAAATTGCTTAGAACTATACTGCATTTGTGTGCACACGTGACCGACTCCTCCCTTCCAAGCACACGCTCCGAGACTTGCTCCCGGTGGGACTAGATGGCCCGGCAGTTGCCAGCATGTGGAGTCAGGGAAGTCACACCTGCAGATAAAGGAGCAAAGGCTACGCCTAGCAGACGGAAAGAAACTTTCTGTCTTGACTTGATTTCAGAAGGCGATTTATTTTAGGGAGGTTTTCAAGAAATATCCTGCAAGTCCCTCAGCAAAGTATAAGATAGATCCAGCTATGAGTGGGTCTCTCTGGGGTCCGGGCGTCGTGGGCTCCCCCATCCCTGAGATGATGTTTGGATTCTTTTCCTCACTGGGACATTCTTGCTCTTTCTGGAAAGCCCCACAGCAGCCACAAACAGAAAACCCTCTACAGCCACTCATCCCTGAGGCCCTCAGCCGAGCATCATCTTTGGCGGACACTTTGCTCTCTGGGCCTTGGGGTCGAAATGATTTCCAGCTTGCCATGATTTCTAAAGATCTCAAGTGTCATACTTCAGACGAACGAAGACCCCTTGAAGCATTCTAACCAACAAATAGCAACCAACTCCACACATCAGAAACCATTCATCCACTTTTGACCTACAGTTAAAGACAAAATTATATTTGAACTACAAAGGACGCGCTTAAAAATCCGTTGGAGGTGTTTGACCCGTTCGGCGCTTGTGGCCACACCTGATCCCACTGCTCCTACTCCAGCTCGATGTCTCCTGCATACAGAGTGATGAGCAGGATCGCCGTGAAGCCCGTGAGCATCCCCACATTCTGGATCATGAAGAAGGTGAAGTCCGTTCTCCTGCCTGTTACCTTTTCCCTCAGCATGTCATTCATCTCTGGAAACTGGAAGAGAGAAATATTGTTGGGTAACTGTGGCCATCTTGTGGTAAAACCCAGAGCAGGCCCAGCACCAAGTCCAGACGTTCAGATGTTTCTGCATCAGCCACGGCACAACAGGGGGCATGAGCCCAGCAACGTAAGAGGAACACCCCCACTTCATCAGCAGCTGCGAGAGTCTGTCTCCCAGCCCCTCTCTCCTCTCCCTCCTTCCACATACACCGAACTCTCAGGACTCAAGTGCTTCTGCCTTTGCCATCTGTAAACTCTTCACACAATCAAATCTTTGATCTGATTTTCCCCTCCAATGTTTCACAGACAAAAAAATATTCCTTGACATCTTAACATAAAATCACTTCCCTAGACCCTGCCCTGAGTTCCATTAATGCCCCTTATTGTCAACTTTCATCACAAAGGCTACTTTTCCCTTTATTTGGACAGTTTTACTTTGTCATTGTTTTATCTGTGGCTCTGGTCGTGGAATGCTGGGCTCCCCTCTTTCTAGAATAAAGTGACACAACCGCAGGAACTGGGCCTCTTGGGTTCCCTCCAGGGCTCCCCCTGCCTCTTCAATTCCCAGGCCTGGGGCCAGAATACCCCCAAGGGCAGAGGCTGAAAGGCAGGCGCACAAAATGCCTTGCATTTCAGTCCTGTTCTCTTCAATGTGTTGCTGTTTGCTTAAAGTCATAAGGTTTGTAAATAAATTTACAATTTATTTATTGTAAACAAGTTCTTTTCATGAACTGAGGACTTCCACTAAAACCATGGAGTTCCATGCCTAAAAGGTAGGTTTCATCAAGTCTCTCGCCATGGGAACATAAAGTAACAAAATAGGAAACTAACATCCAAGAATGGCCGAGATTAGTACCAGGAATTTTACTCCATGACCTGGAGGCCAACCACACATACTAGGGGAAAAGGGAGCTCAGATAGAGAAGGGAACACCAAATAAAGGTGTTGGGAGGATCCTCCCAGGATGAGAGAAGCATGCTGAAAGTAGACTATAGACCAAACACGATTGCCACTCAATGTCTCTTTTGCAAACCACAACACCCAAAAGGAGAGAGAGAACAGAGGGGAGTGCCCTGCCACAGAGACAGGGTGGGATGGGGGGGATGGGGGTGGGAGGGATACTGGGATCCGTGGTGGTGGGAGGTGGGCACTGGTGGAGGGATGGGTATTTGATTATTGTATAATTGAAACCCAAGCACAAAAATGTGTAAGTCTGCAACTGTACCTCATGATGTCTCACTATTAAAAAAATGTTTAATAAAAAAATTTTTAAAAAAAGACTCTCGCCATGCACACACCCCCATGCTGTGTGACTACTGGCTCCACATGTGTCCCCTAAGCCCCACCAGGACAGACCCCTGAACACAGCCTGCATTTCCCCCAAGCCCCCTCTCTCTCCTTACTTGCCTCTTTCTTTCCTACTCACTAAACTTGTGGCTCTGAACAAAAACAAAATAGCAAAACCACCCAAAAAAGCTACCCTTTCTCAACAGACCACTTCTGGAAGGCTCCCTAAGGAATTCTAATTCTAGTTCATACGAGGCATGGGGGGTGGTACCCCAGAGAACCCCCACCCCCACCCCCGAGGGCTGCTGCAGGGTGAAGTCTGAAAGGCCTGAGCACCTCCCCAGTACCACAGAACCCACAGTCCCTGCAACCACGGGGCAGCTGGGTCAGGAGAGATGACTTAAGGCATGAGCTCTGCAAGACCCTCAGATGCTCAGATGGACCAGAGTTGCCCCTGCTCTTCCATGGGCCGCACAGAACAGTGAACAGAGCTAGACAGCCAGCATTTGGAGCGAAGCACACAGATGGACAAAATTAATTTATTACATTATGACTGGGATGCATATTCAGATCCAAATGCAAAGCAGATAATCCTTGATCTGCCTACATTAGCACATTTTCACTTTCTAGAAAGCTGTCTGTGACTCAGCTGAAAACACACAGGACTGATGTTCTCTAACACACGTACACAGATGCAGACAGCATATACATAAACACGAACACAAATGTATACCCATCCGAGTAGAAACTGTCCACTTGAATTCACCAATTGTTGTGCAACCCAGAAGGCTGCCTGGAACTTCCAAATGCCAAAAGCTCTTTAGCGGGTCATTCCTGTCCCAAAGGTGACACCCTCTTCAAAGAGGAGCTGTGGCGGCGACAGCTTCCGAGAGAATACAAGATGCTCCTGCCACCAGGTAGACCACCTAGAAGCAAATCCCACTGGGCAAGAACCAGCCTTCCCCCCTTCCGGAATGAGCTCATGGACTAGGGAATCGTTCTGACACTCATCCAGGAAGCTGGCCAGCGAGAAGCATCAGCACTTTTCCTAAGAACGCCGACTTTGGGCCAGCCAGGCTTGCATGCTGGAGGAATCTGAAAGCCCCGAGCTTGGGAGCACCCATTCATTTCTGATTTTCAAATTAGGGGGTTGGAGCAATAGCACAGCAGGGAGGGTGTTTGCCTTGCACGCAGCTGACCCGGGTTCGATTCCCAGCATCCCATATGGTCCCCCAAGCACCTCCAGGAGGAATTCCTAAGTGCAAAGCCAGGAGTAACCCCTGTGCATATCCGGGTGTGACCCAAAAAGCAAAAATAATAATAATAATAATAATAAATCTAATTTTCAAGTTAAAGCAAGATCTAAAAATAAAGTTTTTAAATTTTTAAATGACTTACCATGTCTGCCAGAGAAATATACAGGAACATGCCCCCGGCGAGTGCAAATATGATGTTGGGCTCAAAGTTGTTGCCCACCAGGATGCCGAAGGCGAGCCCCACGTAGCAGGCGCAGGCCGAGAGGAAGTTGAAGAGCAGCGCCTGGCGTGTGCTCATGCCCGCGTTCAGCAGGATCACGAAGTCGCCTGGGGGAGAGGCGGCGTCATCACCACGCGACCAGACCACCGACAGACTGCGTCATCACTGCACACCGCCCCCCCCACCCCGGCGGAAGTGACGTCGGCACACCTACCCAGCTCGTGCGGAAACTCCTCGCACAGGATGGCGATGGACGTGCTGAGGCCCTGCAGCAGGGACACGGTGCAGGACGCGCCGATGGCCAGGCCGTCGATGAAGTTGTGCAGCGCGTCGCTGAGCGTTATCATCCAGGCGATGGTGCCGATCTCCGACAGCTTGGGCCCCAGCAGACATGGGCAGGAGGACCTGGGCGCGCGGGGCCCGTCCTGCAGGGCAAAGGCAAGGGTCAGCAGGTGAGGGCGAGGGACACGGGGCGGGGGACAGCAGGGGAGGGAGATGGGAGGGGACAGCAGGGGAGCAGGACAGGAAAGGGACAGTCAGGGTCAGAAGGGACAGTGTGGTGGGGAGGGCTCTTGCCTTGGACACAGTCTCTATCCCCAGGGCCCATATGGTCCCCAAGTGCAGCAGGAGTGACCCTGAATGCAGAGGTAAGCTCCGAGCACCCCCAAGGGTGGTTTCCAAACAGAAAGAGCATCAGGGACAGGAAGGGTGTAAGACGGGGCAAGGGGTGGAGGAAGGGAGTGAGACAGGGCAAGCCTGCGGCTGTGCCTTGCGAGACATACAGGAGCCCTGTGCCAGGCCTTCCCCAGCAGCCCAGAGCCCTGTTTTGCCCACGAGAGGATATACCAGAGCCCTGGTTTGTCCATGAGAGGACAAATGGCAGCCCAGAGTGGGGTGGAGGATCCTGAAAAGCCACCCAGAGGAGTGGGTGTTTCCTATCTGTTTTACCTAAAACGACCCTTTGAACTGCACAGACAGACCCTTCAGGAGACATAGACCTGAGCGCAGAGGCCAGGTTACTCACATCCTTTCTGACAAAGGACATTTCTTAAAGATCACAGGCTTTTACAAATATCACAGACCCTTAAAAAAAAAAGCTTCTAGAAGCAATAAACCAATACAGCAAAGTGGCTGGATACAAAGTTAATACATAAATATTGGTTGTGTTCTTATATACAGAGAATGAATCAGAGGAGAAAACAATCAAGGAGTCATCCCATTTAAAATGGTATCCAAAAATATCAAATATCTGAGAATCAGCTTACCCAAAGACATGGGAGATCTATACCATGATAACTTTAAATCACTTAAGAGGTGAAACAACTTAGGAAATGGGTAAATATCCCATTTGCATGGATTGGAAGAATATTATTAAAATGCCTAAGCTCGTATATAGATTCATGCAATTTTCAGACAACATTCGTCCAGGATCTAAAAAAGTCAATGAAAACATTTGTATGGAATCAGTAAAGACAATGAATTACTAAATCCATACTGAAAAACAAGAAATTGGGAGGTATTTCTTTACCTAAGTTGGAAATGTATTGTAAAGCTGTTGTGATCAATACTGCGTGGCATAGGAATAGATAGAGCCTCTGATCAATGCGTGAGAATTGAATACCCTATAACAAAATCCCCTGTGTATATATGGGCAGTTAATTTTCAACAAGGATGCTGAGAGCATGATATGGAGTAAAGATAACCTCTTCAACAAATGGTGCTGGGAAAACTGGATAACTGTGTTTAAGAAATTAAAGCTGGATCCATATCTTATACCTCATACAAAAGTCAATTCAAAGTGGATCAAAAGCTTGAGATACAACCAGAAACGGTAAAGTACATTGAGGAAAATATTGGCAGAATACTTCAAGATTTGGACCTCAAGAGTGTCTTCAATGATCTGATACTACTGGCAAAGGCAACACAATAAAAAATAAATGAACGGAACTACATAAAATTAAAGAGCTTCTGATGGCAAAAGAAACACAGGTTAAAAAACTAAAAGACAGCCGAGTAGAGAAAATATTTGCATTCAACACATCAGATAAAGGTTTGATATCCAGGATATATAAAATACAGAGATCAACAAAAAAATTCAAAAACTATATCAAAAAATTGGGAGAGGAAATGAATAGACATTTCTCAAAGGAAGACAAGCTGAAAAAAATGCTCCGCATCACTTAACACAGAGAAATCCAAATCAAGATAACAATGAGATACCATCTCACACCAGTGAGAATGGCATATATCAAAAATATTAGGTATCTTAAACTAGGAAGCTTCTGCACCTCAAAAGAAACAGTGACCAAAATACAAAGACAGTCTACAGAATGGGAAAGGATATTCGCTGAATACACATCCGACAAGGGGTTGATATCAAGGATATATAAAGTACTGGTTGAACTACACAAGAAGAAAACATCCAACCCCATCAAAAAATGGGATGATGAAATGAACAGAAACTTTCTCAAAGAAGAAATCCGAATGGCAAAAAAGCACATGAGAAAATACTCTACATCATTAATCATCAGGGAGATGCAGATCAAAACAACAATGAGATATTTCACACCACAGAGACTGGCCCACATCCAAAAGAACAAAAGCAACCGGTGTTGGCGTGGATGTGGCCAGAAAGGGACCCTCCGCTGCTGGTGGGAATGCTGACTGGTTCAGTCCTTTTGGAAAACAGTATGGACGATTCTCAAAAAATTAGAAATTGAGCTCTCATTTGACCCAGCAATACCACTCCTGGGAATATATCCCAGAGAGGTAACAATGTATAGTCGAAGTGATATCTGCACTTGTTTGTTCATTGCAGCACTGTTTACAATAGCTAGAAAAAAAACCTGATTGCCCTATAACAGATGACTGGTTAAAGAAACTTTGGTACATCTACACAATGGAGTACTATGTAGCTGTTAGAAAGGATGAAGTCATGAAATTTACATATAAGTGCTACTACATGGAAAGTATCATGCTAAGTGAAATGAGTCAGAAAGAGAGATTGTAGAAAGATTGTATTAATCTGGGGAACATAAAGTAACAAAATAGGAGACTAATACCCAAGAATAGCCATAAATACCAGGAGGTTTACTCCATGGCTTGGAGGCCAGCCACACACTCTAGGGGTAAAGGCAGCTCAGATAGAGAAGGGAGCACCAAATAAAGGGTATTGGGAAGATCCGTCCAGGATGGGAGATGCATGCTGAAAGTAGACAAGAGACCAAACATGATTGCCAATCAATTCCTCTTTTGTAAACCACAGCACCCAAAATGAGAGAGAGAACAAAAGGGAGTGCCCTGACACAGAGGCAGGGTGGGGTGGGGGGATGAGGGGGTGGGAAGGATACTGGGATTAGTGGTGATGGAGAATGGGCACTGGTGGAGGGATGGGTACAAGATCATTGTATAACTGAAACCCAAGCACAAAAATTTGTAAGTCTACAACTGTACCTCATGGTGTTTCACTAATATATATATATATATATATATGTATATATGGAATGATCTGTGTTGGCAGGGATGTAGTGAAAAAGGAAGTCTCATCCAGTGCTGGTGGACATGTTATCTGCTACAGCCCGCGGAAAACACTATGAAGAGTTCTCAGTAAACTTAGAATTGAACTGTCATACAACCCAGCAACTCCACTTTGGGACATCTACCCCCAGGACATAAAAACACTCTCTGAAAAGGACATATGTACACCAATATTCATTGCCACACTCCGTACAATAGCTAAGATACGGAATCAACCTTAGGTGTCCAGTGACAGACAAATGGATTATGGATGAATGGACAATGGAATACTATGACAAATGCCAATGGAATACAACAGATGACAGTGAGATACAATGGAATGGACAACGGAGTACTATAACAGATGACAGGGATAGGACAATGGAATATTATGATGCAGGTGTAAGGAACAATGAAATCATGCAATTTGCTAAAACCTGGTTGGAACTGGAAGATACAATGTTGAGTGAAGTAAGTCAGAAGGAAAAAAAAATAGATGATCTCTCTTATCTGTGGTCTACAGAATACTGAATGAGGAAATGTACTGCGGTAAAGGGGGATGCTTAGATCTCCCTTGACCCCGGTGTTTAGAGAGAAGGACAGAAGAAAAAAGAAATCAAGGGGGAAAGAAGAGAACTGGAAATAATGGGTGAACAGGCATCAGGACTTATTCTGGTGATATGGGTGGGTAGTATAGCCCTATATCCAAAACACAAACTCAACAACATTGAGAACATGAGACCTAAGCTGCAACCACTGAAACTAATGTGCCTGTAAAGGTGACAGGTGGGATAGGGTGGGGGTTGAGGTCGAGAGGGCATATGGGAACACTGGGGGAGGAAAGTTGAACTGGTGGTGGGACTGGTGTGGAAATATTCTATGCCTAAAACTTAACTATCAATAACTTTGGAAATCAGAGTTCTTTAATAAACAATAAAATCTCACCACTAGTGACCATTAGTATTATAAGTAAAGTAAGTAAGTAAAGGCCCTCCCGTTGATCATCGATTTGCTCGAGCGGGCCCAGTAACGTCTCCATTGGAGACTTTGTTGTTACTATGTTTGGCATATCGAATACGTCACGGGGAGCTTGCCAGGCTCTGCTGTGCGGGCGAGATACTCTCGGTAGCTTGCCGGGCTCTCCGAGAGGGGCAGAGGAATCGAACTCGGGTCGGCCATGTTGGCTGCGTGCAAAGCAAACGCCCTACCGCTGTGCTATCGCTCCAGCCCCATAAAGCACAGAATCTCAGTATAGATAGATAGATAGATAGATAGATAGATAGACAGACCCTTGTGTGAGCGATCTGCACGCAGAGTGAGGACACAGAGGTGCAGACCGTCTGCTCTAATCCCCCCAGTCTACTGTGCACCTGGCAGTGGCATGGAGGTGGTTGGTCTCCGTTTCTCAACTGTCAAGTGCACCATGGAAAAGTCCTTTCCTCCCCCCTGCGTTTCCCCCCTTCCCGTGTGGCATGCTGTTCTGTGTGGCTCCCAATTTCAATTATTCTCTTCACAGATTTTATGAAGCGTGATTGTGACTGGCTTGCCTTAACACTAGCAATTCTTTGCACTTTGAAACAGTGCAAGGAGAAAATTATAAAACAGACTCTTTATAAGAATTTCCCTCAAATTTACTAACTTGTGTATGATCTCATAATCAATGTCAATGAGAGTATTTCCAGAAACTAGAAAAGAGATAATACATGCAAATTCATTTTGAAGTAGGGAAGCAATTTGGAACCTTTTATTCCTCACTCCCCTTTCCTCAGTTCCACCTCAGCAGTGAATCAACACAGCTATTAACCATCTACAGCCTTTAACAGTGAGCTAATACTGGGGGGCGGGGGGAGGGCAGAAAAGTGGAAAAGACAGTGTCTGTCCTCAAGAAGCACGTTTACCTTGGGAAAAC